CATGACGAAGATGGCCCTGCTCCACGTAATGAGGGCAGAGCCCCAGAGACCGGCAGTGCCAAAGATGCGCTCGGGGTTGTTGAGGAAGCGGTAGATGGACTTGTACGTCAGCCTGGCGGTGGAGTCGTAAAAGAAGTCACCGTAGAACCAGCCAAACTCGCCGAGGGAGTCGTACACGCTGATGAATGTCCAGACCTGGAGGGAGACGAGACCGGCTCCGACAACGTGCTTGAGGAGGACCCAGCCGTACGCCCAGTCCTCTGGCGGCGAGTACATCTTCCAGCACGCGGCGATGAAGGATCCCGTGCACATGACGGAGCTCAGATGGTACATGCCCTTCCACTGGTTCCATGCCTCAGTGTGGCTCTCGCCGTACTTGAGGAAGTGTCTCGTCCAGAACTTATTGCGAGACTGCCACGCGAGGATGGCACCCAGACCAAGGTGGTACCACACGCGCCAGAACAGAGCATGCAGCAAGAACAGGACTTGGTACACCGACGTCGACGGGGTCACAAGGGTCAGGACGGCCATGTAGAAGCCGAGCAACAGAACCGAGGTGTCTGTGATGCGGAACAGGTCGAGGTTGTTCAAGCCGATCAGGTTGTGCACCTGCGCGGGCGCCTCGGGCGACGACTCCTGGGCCGTGGCGGACTGGTCAACCACGATTTCATCGTTGATGGCGACGAGCTCCGGCTGGCCGGTAAGCGGCGTCGAGGCAGTGCGCTTACGCGGGGCAGGCGGGTTGTACGTCTTCTCAATGTGCGGGTTCTCAACAACGACGAGGAAGGCGAACTGGGCGAGATGGGCAATGATTGAGATGAAGAGGACCTCGTAGCTCGCAGCCATCATGGAGATGCCGTAGTAGCCAGCATAGCCAATGGAGTACATGGGGTGCGGGGCCATCTCAAAGACGCCGTCAAAGGTCAGCTCCTGGTCGACGAGGTAGAAAAAGTCACCCCAGTACCAAGCGTAGTCCTTGACAACGCGGTGGGCGTCCAGCTTGACCCAGAGATTGAAGAGGACCAAGAGGATGCCGATGGACCATCGTCCAACGCCGATAAAGGGGTTCTCGCCGGCGGGTGTGTGACCGCAGATCACGGCAAAGAGGCAGTAGGAGACAAAGTCACACATCAAGATCAGATCGACGACACGGCGGAAGACTAGCCAGGTGTTGTACTCCATGGGAGCTTTCTCAAACTCGTAGTCCTCGGGGATCTTGGCCTCGAGCTCACGCTTCAACATGTTGTAGAGCCAAGGGCGGGGTTGCTTTCCCGTCGAGGGGTGCTCAAAGAGCTTCCATCTCGCGGCCCACGTCTCCAGCCTGCGGTGGTTGGACTGGATGGTGAGGAGGTATCCAATGCCAATGTTGTACGAGGCTCGCCAGAAGAGGAAGACGAGCGCGAACAAGGGACGCTTCAGGTTGCCGGGCACGAAATAGGCCGCAACAATCTGGAGGGCAAGAATGGCCAAGACGAGCACATCGGAGAAGTTCTTGGGCTGTCTCGGATCGAGCAGCTGCGACACCATGTCGTGGGTAGTGGGGACGGTGAAGACTAGGCGATTGTCAGTCGACAGTATTTAAAGCACATCACCGCGAAACCCACCTGTGCCATCGGGAGTTCGACCAAACGTCTTGTTGGGCTTTTGCAGCAAGTCTTCCGACTGGTCGTCCGCGGCGGTCGAAGGGTTTAGACCATCCTCGCCGTTGCCAGCCGCGGACGTCCGCCTCTGGCGCTGACGCAGAGAGCCAGCATCACTTGCGAGGGGCGCGGCGGAAGAGCTCATTCTACCAGGGAAGGAGCAGCGTAGCAATTGGCGATGCCGATGGAGGGGTTTAGGTTATTTTCACACACAGGGGGGTCGGTAAGGGCGTTGTGCGACGATGATTCTGTTGCTCAGGCTGTCCATGAGCCGCCAGTGTCAAGGTTGACTTTTTGTATGCGCGAGAAACGAGCAGGAGCAGTGCAAGAGCAAGAGTTCAGGTGAGGAGAGAGAGAGAAGGAGAGAAGAGAGGCGAAGAGGCAAGACGTTGGGAAGAAGGACGACGTGGAAAGAACGTCACAGACAAGGGTTGAGGGTGCAGCTGGAGGTTTCCAATGGGAGGCAGCGTTGTGAGGAAGCACTGGGAAGGTACGGTAAAGAGGCACCTGCCGCACTTACACTGTACGACCAGCCCCACTAGTCCGGCGGGTTAGGTTTGGTTCCTGCTGATTTGGATTGGTTTGGATTGAGAAAGCCCGCCCGTCCCGCAACTGTTGAATTCGTCTTTACTCGCTACATTGTGCAAGTACCGTGGGGAATGAGAAAAGTACACTTGAACTTGGCATGTGATCCGTGGGCAGCCGCAACGCTGGAGTGGACATTGAAGTTGAGCAATTGAGCCGCCTGCGCGATTCAGCACCGGCAGGAGCTCTTGAAGATGGAAGGCACCAAGGGTCCAATGAGAGGTCCCACGGATGACATCCGATTCCATTGCCTCACAAGGTAGCTACAATGAGCTACACACTCGCCGCAAATACCTAGATCATTGGAACAAAGAAACTGACTGAAGCTTCTCACTAGCACTGTACAGACGGAGGTCAGACACCGCTTGCACACGTGTGGTTACTGGTGGCCCTAAGCACCCCTGCGCAGGGTAAGGTGTTGAGAAAGAAAAATCCTTCAACCTTCCAGCGTCTTCCCTCTCGTTCGAGCGGGAAAGCGCGAATGCGGGAGATGCAGCAGCGCCTTCTTCGTGCCTGTATACCATTGGTACCTCAGGCAACCTGGACTGCAGAGCGACTTACCTTCCTCTACAAATCTACAGCGTGAGCGCGCCACGTCTAGCACAGGTGCGGGGCTCTTGCCTACGGTTAGCGGAGCAGCGACCTAGTCTCAAACTGGTCTAGCGTCATGGTGCTTGAGCGCTCTAAGCGAGGGCCCTCTGACGCTCGGGCCAGCTAATGTACAAGCTCACTCGAGATCATGCACGTGCCGATAGGAGACCTCTCGACGATAAGCTTCGAGTCTGTCAACAAACATCACCGCACCTTGACGACAGTCTGAGTGATGATCAAGGTCAACACTGTATTGAGTTGAATGACACGCAACAGATCGATGGTGTGTAACACTGACCAAACCCGTTGCATCAGCAACACTTAAGCCCTTGGCTTCTCGAGCTCCAAGCGGAGCCAGCGAAGACGGGAAGAAGACCAAGAACACGGGGAAATACCTGTTAGAAAACAGAACGACAAAGACCTTCCCATCAACATCCCTTCACCCAAATCACGCAAATCCAAGCGCGCCACGCGTTTTGATTCTGTTGTCATGCTACCAAAAAGCGACTGCTCGCGGCCACTCATTCGCCAGGCGGCTCCCGTGATGGAGGCATCCCTGGACGGCTGTCCGGGGTACGCCGGTCGTTTGCATGAACTTCTAGAATGACTACCATCAAAACACAACCCACACCACCAGGGCCCCTTCCTGGGATCTGGACCAAATCAAATTTGTCGCGTTTTTTTTTTTCAGTGTTCATTTGTATGCGCTTTTGCAAAATGGGTTGCCCAGCATCGTTCGGTAGTTGTATAAAGACGAGCCGGAAGAGTCACCCGCCCTCCTCCTCTGCTTTACAAGTGATTTGCTCACAAACAGTCTATAGTGACTTGTACACATTCATTCCATATAACACATACAACAAGCTCTTAATTAATTACAGCCTCACCACACAATGGCCCGCGAAACCCCAACATCCTCTATCGCCGGCGACTCCAAGCCACTCCCCAAACGCCCCGGCACCTCGGGCACGGAAAACCTCCTCCGGACGAACCGCCGCCAGGCCTCGGACAACTACCAGCGCGCCCAGCGCGCCGAGCGAGCCTACCGCGCAAAGAAGCGAGCCACCGCCGCCCGCGCCGACCTCTCGGACGCCAAATCGCACTACGCCGAGTGCTTCAAGCACCTCAGTCGCGGCCTCGCCGTCACCTTCAGCGCCGTCAAGTCCCTCCCCTACGTCTTTGACGAGCGCCAGGAGGCGAGTCGCCAAAAGGCGGAGGCCAAGAAGAAGCAGCGCGCCCTCGAGAAGAAGAAGAAGCTCGAAGAGAAGCTCGCGAGGGAGAACGCCCAGGCTGACGGTGCCGAGGGGGATGCCCCCGCGGACGGCGATGCCCCTGCTGCTGAGGAGGAGACGCCCGCTGCTTGATGGACGATCCGCAGAGTCGAGTCGATTACGTGGTTGAAGGGGATCAGAGACTGAGGTCTTTGTGCAGCGGTTCCGAGAATGGGATCTCTGTGTGGAGATCTTCCTCTTCCTCGCCGCTTGGAACTTGCTCTGCGACGGGATCCTCCGTTCGCGCCGGCGCGACAATGACAATGACAACAACAAACATCGACACAACAGCTTCATCACCAAATCGACAACCACCAGCCAGAGATGGCACTTGCTCGTTCTTCGCCCTCGTGGCACCCACACTCGCTTTACTTCGTCCACACGACATAAACCAAACCAAACAGCCCACCCACCTTTCCTTTACTGTCTACTCATCTCCTATTGTTTTTTTGAATACAGTTTTCACGGCCTTGAACGAGATAATGATGACGGAAACCAGCACGAAGACGGGAACTCTTCTATTAATACACAACAAATGTCTATATCAACGAGGAGTCTCGGCCATCCGTGTTTACATCCGGCGTCTCGTTGTTGGAAAAAATACTCGGTTTGTGTAATTATTGTTCACCACATTCATACCACTTTTCTTTGTCTCAGTCTGTGTGCTTTTGAGTTCGAGTTGTGGGAGAAAAGGGGCGGAAACGGAGTCGAGTCTGGGTTTCCCATCAGATACCTGCTTTGCATTAGTTACAGAATTTCAGTCATGATTATGCTAAACGTCAGTCCCGTGACCTGTGAGTTTTGAATATCGTAGTCATCATGATGCGAGTTCATTCATCGAGCGTTTCCTCACACATACCCAGAGTCCCGTGAGATCATGTCTTTGCATTTTCCATGAAAGAGAAAATAAAAACGAGGGATGTAAAAAACTACCGTTATCCCCAAAGCGGATGCCAAATTTTTGTAAACCCGTATTGCCGTAGCCGTGTCTCCAGTAGTAGCATCAAAACATTCGTTACCGCCATCTTCATCCCCGTCGTCACCCTCACCCTCCAACTTAGGCCGCCTTCTTGGCGAACTCGACTCTGAGAATCAAGTGCTTGAAACCGAAACCGTCCATCTTGGCCGCGGCCTTGACGGCGTCGCCCCGGTCCGCAAAGCTGATGAAGGCAAAGCCCTTGGCCAGTCCCGTCTCCCTGTCCTTGGCCAGGAACACACGCGTGACGCGTCCGAAGCGCTCGAACATGTCGCGCAGCTCCTGCTCCTCTGCCATCTCCGAAACCTGTACACGAGTGTCAGTATCGCAGCTCTAAACACCACCAGCACGACGTCGTCAAAGACGGATGCTGCATCGTCAGGGGTACGCACGTTGGTGACACGCAGCGTGGCGAGGTCGTCCCGCTCGCCGTACTTGCTGCCTCCCATCCTGTCACCCGCACCCGCGCCGCCAGTCGCGCCAGCGCGGAGCGCAGGCGGGACGTAGCTGCCCTTCTTGGCACCGGCACCGCCAGCACCTCCGGCGCCGCCAGCCGCGGGGGCGGGGTCGTCCGGCAAGCCCGCAGCAACGTCGGCGCCGTCGGCACCGACGGGCGCCATGGTGTCCTTGTAGGGACAGCGGGCCGTGAAATGCTCGCCGTTGCAGATACGGCACTTGACCTGCTTGTCCTTGAGCTTGTCCTTGAGGGCCTGGGCGCCGGGGTCCTCGCCCGCCTCCTTCTCGTCCTTGCGCCAGTTCGTGCTGGGGCGGAAGATGATGTTCTCGCCGACCGAGGTGGTGTCGGGAGCAGGGCCGGCCGGGTCCTTGGCGCTGAGGCCGAACTTGGACCACGTCTTGCGGTCGGCGACGCGCGGGTTCACCTTTTCGGTGTGCGTCGTGTAGCGGATGCGGCGGGTCATCTTCACCTTCTTGCCCTGGTCATTGTAGCGGAAGGTGATGATCGTCTTGGTGCCGTCCTTGTTGCTGATGGTCTGGGGCGCGGGGAGCTCGGTCGACGTCTCCTCGACGTCTTCGTCGTCGGCCCAGTCGTGCCTGAATGAGAGGGGTTAGCTAGCTGTCTTTTTTTTCTCTCCCTTTCGTTCGGACAAAGTTGTGGGCAGGAGTCGGGCGTACTTGGTCTTGGGCGTAGCCATGTTGGGCAACCTTATCTTCTCGTATACGCTGTAATCGGATCCCGTTTCTCGATATCGGTCGGATTCGTCAGAGGTTTGCAGTCCTGAAGCGGGTTGTCGCGGTGGTCAAATCGGTGGTGGGGTCCAGAACTGGAGGAATTTTGATGTTGATTGATTTTCGTGGTGCGCCACCAGAGACGGTGTGGGGCAGATGGCGCTAAGCCCTTTTCGGTCTCGCAACCGTTATCTCAGCCTCAGCGGTCCGACACACATGCTGTCAAGGTCATCTCACACTCATTTCACTCTTCCCTTGATGTATCAAATGTTCTTCATATTGTACTGCCTCAGGGCATAGTCTACTGCTACAAGTCATACACTGCGTCATCGGGCCCCTCGCAGGGAAATCTATCGCCTTCTCCCTTGTCATCCAAAACCAGCCGTGAGATGCACGTTCACCATTGAAAAAACACTCCGAATGCCGTCCAGATGGCACATCATGGAGAGGGCGCCTTTTTATCCATAAAACGCCGATTTGCGCAGCAAAGGGGTATGACGCAAACAACAACAAAATAAGAGACATAGGAGATTCAACACCCGCGCCGCCATGGGCGGTTTTCATAGGCCATAGCCTGAAAGATAAGAAAAAAAGATGTGGTCACATGAATCGAATCAAGGTGAATGACAGGTAGGTCACGCTTTGGAATGAGAGCGTGCCTTTTGAGGGATGGGCGGCAGCGCGCAGCTTGGCGGCGGTGCCGGCGGAGGTCCTTCGACCAGCTGAGGCATGCTGCGTCTTCCCAAGACGACCTTGGAGTGGTCAACTCGGAGCTGCTTGCTCGACGGAGTAGGAGGTGTTATCGGGGCCCGCGGCATGGATCGAGGCGACACAGAGTCTGACTCGGGGAGCATCGGGAGCCCAGTGGCTACATCCTCGCTCCGTGGCGAGTAGCTCATGACAGAGTGTGCGCTGAGTCTCTGGGTGGCCCTCTGAGCCGGAGACTGGAACACAAACGACGACTGCGGGCGGGGAGACGTGTGGGATGCTCCGCTCGACGAGGCCGGAGATGGCGTCTTTGAAGGGAGGATGAATGTCCGGAGTCCAGGCGACAGAGGCGACCCCTCCAGCTGGTTTAGAGACGGCGAGCTGGCGTACTTTCGCGGACTGGTACGGATGGTGACCGTGACAGCCTGCTCCTTGGGGCAAAGGCTTGTTTGCCGGGGAGGGAACTCCGCCATGCTATCGCGGCTCAGGTTCGGGCGCTCCCGTTCCTCCTCGCACACTTGCGAGAGCTCGGGGGCCTGCGCCGGAGACGCCGGTGATGGCTGATCCGCCACGATCGACAACGGGCGGGCCATGGCAAGTGCCGTTGGCGGGGGTTTACGGGCGATCCTGGAGATGGAGTCGCGGTTGCTCCTCGTCTGCTCGGGGCTCGACGAGGGGCTCTTGACGGCGCTGTAGCGCCTGCTCATGGGAACGCTAAAATTGGCGGCCACATGCGCGAAGTCGGCCTCGGTGTACGTGGACTGGGGTCGCGACATGGGAGAGCCACGCAGCTCCAGATAGCCTGAAGTCTGCAGAGACTGTCTGCGGTCGAGGATGGCCGCGGCGTTGGGTCTGGGTCTCGCAGCGGGCAAATCATGCTCCGCAGGAGGGAGGTCGTCTAGGTGGCTGCTGGCGAAGCTGTCGCGCACGGGGGAGCACGCGGGCGACGAGCCGGCCGAGGTGAGAAAGGTGCGCTGGCCAGACGAGATGTACGAAAGCCGGTTGGTGCTGTCTCGCAGGCTCTCGAGCTGCCGGCCATCGTGAGAGATGATACTGTTGGTGGTGGAGATGTCGTCAATGGAGGGGTCGCGCGTCATCTCAGCGTCAATAATGGACTGGCGGCGGTCGTCCTCGTGGAGTCTGGCCTGCTCCAACTGCAGAGAAAAGTCTGGCGGCAGCACTCGCGAGAACCTATCGGGGTCCCGTACAACCAGGGTCCTTTGACTCGGCTGCCCGCGAAGCTGTACAATCTTGGGATCCGCCTTGGGCCGGCCCGTCTCTGAGAGGGTCTTCTTCCCGCCGAGCGACTCAATCTCCCGGCGCAGGATAGCGATCCAGGACTCCATCTCTTCGGCGCTCTCGAATACCATGAGGAAGTTGGCAGCGTGTCGCTTATCGGCGGCGCGGAAAGGCAGGCGGGACAGCAGCCCGCGCGAGTCCGCCGAAGAGACACCGTTCGACTCCATGGCCGAGGAAACCTGAAGAACCCAGTGCTTGCCGGGAATCGCGTCACTGACGAACGCGGCCGAGTCCTTGCTGAGGTGCAGCACCTTTTCCGGGAGGCGATCAAAGTTGCCTTCGCCGTTGTACTGCAGCAGGTATCCGGACGTGCAGAGCACATAGACCTTGGACGTCCACTCGAGCCTGACGGTGGACAGCGTTCGCAGGTGCTTCCTCCGCGCCTTCTCGACGGCTCTGTCGGCGAGCTGCTCCTCAGCAAGCTCCGGGGTGAGGGCGAGGTGGGCCAGGTCCTCGCGGATGCTGACGCTGCCTTTGCGGTCAGTGAGACGGAGGATCACATCGGCGGACGTCGTAGCCGTGGGAAGCTGAGCGTGTTTAATGGCTTGGGGGTATGCCTGGAACAGTGGTGGGGGGTCCCAGGTCGCAAGGTTGCCGCGAGATGACCTCGCGGGGGCGTTTTGTGGCTTGGTCCTTTCGGTAGTGGTGGGCCGTCTCTGGAGGGAAGCGTCGTTGAACGGCACATTATTGGTGGCGACGGACGTCGGTCGTGATGAGTTTGTGCCGGATATGGCGACTTCGGATCGCATATACGGCCAATTGCTGATTTCCGCCAGCGAGGCGCGGATGCTGTTGGGGCGACCCGTGTCAAAGTACGAGGCCGAGGGGTCGATTTCGCGGGACGCCTTTGCCCTGCCAAAGATGCTCCTCAGTCCCAGTCTCGAATCGCGCCTGCTAAGCCTGTTTTCGGAGCGCAAAGGAACGCGGTTCGACGAGTCTGCGGTGGCGGGTTCAACGGCGGGCGGTCGTGCTCTGCGGGACTGTGTTGCGCGGTACTGCAGAGTTTCCGCAAAGTTGGCAGCACTAGGGCTGCTTGGCTCAACATCGGCCATGGCGGGGTTTTTGTGTTTTACCTAGCCAGACGTTGTCGAGAGAGAAGTGTCCCGTGGTGAGAGCGCGGACGGTGACGTGAGTATAAGACAGCTGGAGTGAAAGGCGAGAATGCGCATGGGCATAACAGAAGACGATGGGTGGATTTGGCAGTGTGAGTGGTAGAGCTCGGTAGGCATAAGAAACAATTGAATTGTTGGCAGGGTTTTGAAGTGGAACCTTTTGAACCCCGGCAACAGTCCGTCGGGGGTGGGTTTGGAAACGATGAAGGTCTGATGAGAAGGATGTTGTGAGGGGAGACCCAAAGAGGCGAGCGAGAGATGAGTGTGTGATATCTCGTTTTCTTGCGAGGCGGCGTGTCCGATATGAGCGTGTAAGACGGTACTATTGCGAGTAGACGCGGCGCGGCGGGAGGCTGAAAGCTGGAGGCTGGCTTGTATTCTTTGGTGTCGATAGAAAGAAGCAATTCACAGAACTGTGTTGTTGGTGGTTGGTTGAGATGGAAGCTGGTGGTGGGTACGAAGTTGTTGGACTGAGAGAGGGCCTGCCTAACCGGGCCAGCTGCACCAAAGGGGGTCAGAATGGCAGATGGGGAAGAGAAGAGAAATAAAACGAGGCATCACCCGCGAAAAGCAGGAAATGGGAGGGCATTCGGGCGATAATAATAACAACAATAACAACAATGGGGGAGGGGGGACATTGACCACCTGCGGATGGATGTGCGGTGCAGCGTGGGTACCCGCGGTACCTGATGGAGTACAACGCTACAAGTGCAAGTGAGCTCGGCCACTAGGCCAGGTAGGTGGATTTTACTTTGCCGTTAGGGGAGCTGCTAGCCCAGCACAGGCGCACCCCGCCTACCTAGTCATACTGCGTAGGTACCTGCTCAGGCGCAGGCATCACAGGCGCAAGCGCACCCGCTGCACACTGCACTGCTCCCTACCTACCTCTTAGCCGGGGCTTCCCCGTGGTCTGCAAGATACGTACCCTCAATGATTTCCACCTCAGTCCTCAGGTTTCTGAAGATTGCCTGCCTTACCTACAACTTGGGTATCAGCCTCACCTTGCTCAACACGCTGACCTGAAGACCTACCTTACTATGGCCGCTTTGGCTTCTGATGACGAGGGAGGGAGAGACGCCGAGAAGACAGCGCGTCCGCCGTCCCACCTCAGCATCCTCCTACGTCCAGGCTGGCAAGCTGGGAGCTGGCAGCCGGAGCTTGGGGAGCGCTGGACCCCATCAATAACCTCCTTGAACCTTGCCCATCCTTACATCCTTACAGATACCCTTTTCTTTCTTCCTTGGACCTTGGTGACCCCTTGCTTCGCGGGCCCCCGGCAATACGTCCAATCATTCAGCCCCGTCCCGTCCCATTTAGCGAGCCCTGCACAGCGGAAGCAGAAGCAAGGGCAGACATATTCGGGCCTCGGACGCTCTGTAGTCATAGGCTGCTGCGCGAGTACGAACTACAAAGTACGGATTACAGACTCTGCACCTATACAGTAGTCCCGGCAATGAGCAGAGGGATGGATTTCAGTCGCACACCTTGGCCACGTTCGGCACTCTCGGACAGGGGGCCACTCGGGGATCAACGAAGCTGGGCCCTGGGAGGCGGGAAAAGGGAGTGAAAACTCTTCAAATTGACAATTAGCTGGCAACAAGAGCAAGCGAGCAACAGTGCTGGCGCTGAGTGGCAGAGTACAGCCTGTGCAGGACTACTCCGTACGGATTGCTACAGCATTGGCGAGTCACTCGTTTGCATCCTGACCGGCACCCATGACACTGGGCAAGTTGCAACTGAGATGGCCTCTTCTCCTTTGGGATCCCCTGATGCCCGAATCCATCTTGGGGTCGTGTGCCCGCCGCGTTCGCGAACCCCTGGTCGATACTACCCAGAGAAATCTCTTGTTTGGGGCCGGACGGCAAATGAAAGCCTCAACCGAAAGAGGCGCGACCAACTGACAATCTCAAAAGTGACACCCTGACAAACTGCGGTTATTGAGGGCCAGGCCTGGGTCGGTTTTCGCCGGTCGGCAGCACCAGCAGCCCACGAAATGACGATACGACGCCGGTGATCCTGTCTTTTGGTGATCCCTCTGAAATTGGGCTTCAGGATACGTACCTTTGATAACACGCAGGGCGCGATGCTCGATCTTACTCCGTACACCTTGCTTCACGGCCACCTTGCCTTACCTTTGCTTCGTATACAAAACGTACCTGACGAGAGAAACACTGAGCTGAAGCGTTCCATCGGGTACACGACTGCTACTGCGGTTGCCCACGACGAGAAGTGGCCTTTCACAGCATTTCCCATCCTCCGTGCAACCACACCCAAACAAAAACAAGAAATAATTCGTCCCTCGTTGCCATGTACGAGTTGTGTACGCACTAACGGAGCACAGGTCTACCATGTCACCATGCTCAACTTCACAAGACAGAAGCTGGGTTCACCCTTGGGACGCGGCAGAAGAAAGGACGAACAGGCGAACAGACGCTGAAGGACCGGTGTCCCATGCTCCCAACCTGCGTAAAGTGCCTTATTAATTATTCCGGGGATGTTTTGAGAACAACTTCCTTCCTGTCGGTACGTATCTCATAAACGGAAACACGCCAAAAAGCCACCCTACAAGTACTCGTCCGCCGCAACGAATCATCGTCACGGATTCCGTCCAAATTCCGACGGGGCGGGCAGCTCTGGCCTTTCCTGCAGGGGCAAATAACGACGTTCCATTGCTAAAAGTGGCATAGGTTCTTTCTGGGCAAAGCTTCCCAGTGGTTCCTGGCCTGGGTCCCAAGGGCCTGACGGGCCATGGCTCCCCCACTCATCTACCAACCGCACCGAAGCAGACATCCTGGAACGGAAATGTTTTCCCCACCCTGGAGCGAACCACCTGGCACCCAGTTCTCCGTACCACACCTCGAATGTTTAGAAAAGCAAATATATGAAATGAGCTCAAGAGGAAACAAGAAAGGAAAAATCTGCAATAAAGAACCGACATCCATCTGAATCAGAAATCTGCGCCCTCCATCAGTCATGAATGACGACTGACGTGTCACACCACACTCATCACCACCAAACACTGCACAGCCTCTGCCACCGACGTGTTGGAGCTTGTCCCCTTCCCGCTTCCTTCAATCCTGTAATCGCCCACCCACGGCTCCTAGAACCACGAGAACCCTCTGCACAGATGATGGCTTGGGAGCTTGGGTCCCTGCGCATGGCCCTTTTTCCCTTCTAGCACCGCCATTTCTCATTTCTCCGAGCTCTCGAAACCTTGGCTTCCGACTACTGCCTGAGGTCGCTTGTTGAATCCGCGCTTCCTTGGATTGCCGCTCTCTCTCCAGTCCCAAGACTTGGGTCATGTTGGTTCCTCGCGGCAGGGTTCGTCGTAGGCGCCGGCGGGGTGCACAACGGTGCTTCTCGTGCACAACTTCACTCCGGACAACTGTCCGACCCCAGCAATTCTTGTATGACATCCTCTGCGAACCTTATGAAGATGTGCACCGCCTGCCGCAGCCCCATGACCTGGCCACTTGATGACAAGGCTTTTGTTCCAGTTCCAGCAAAAGATAAAACCCACTCGAGTCGTCTTGCCAAGCATCCAAGTTGCAGCTTCGCCTTGAAATACCCAAGCCAGCCCCTTGGCCAAGATTGGAGGCGCGGCGAAGCGGATCAACCAACTCAAAGTCGTTGCATCTCAACACCCCCGTCGCTTGCTCGTCGGCCCTGTCCTTCCCCGTGTTCTGTGTCAATCCCCCCCATGGTCCAACACATCGGCGTCTAGAATCATGTTAGCCTTCCTTTCTCTCTGGTGCGATCCATGGCGTCGACTCTTGACACCTTGCGAAACACTCTCGCAAGCCACCATCGCCACTTGGAAGGGCTAACGAGTGGTGATCCTCCATGGAAGGTGAGCTCTGTAATCGATCAACGACGGGTCAGATCCCATCACCAAGTGTATTGAAACAGACGCGTGGCGAGAGCACATCGTGCGACTTGGTGATCCCCAATCCTGCCGAGAGCATCGCATCCTAGCGCCTCCAACGTAGGCTGCCTCTGCATCGGCTGATGTTTGCGAACCGCTCGGCCACTGCAGATGCCATCCAGCCCTTTGCGGGACGACAAAAAACGCGGCGCTCGTGCAAATACACGGCATCATATCCCAAGCAACGGTGCCCGGAGTGTCCCACGGTGCATCTATAGGTGCATTTTGCGAGCTAATGCGACTCTGAACTTTTCCCCGGAAAAGTTTCCGCTGGTCCCGGATTGTAAATGAGATCTGTTGTCGTGGCCAAATTATCCCACATTTATTTGACGATGTCGAGCAACTCGGAAGAGGCTCTTCGGCTCGTTCAATATCGAACCGACCCTGTTGATAACGAGGCCACGCAGGCACTACCGGATGGGGCCCCGATCTGTTGTCCAGGGCGGGCCCCAACCACGACAGCCGTTTACGGAGAACGGAGTACGGAGGACAGGTGCAACCCTGTTTTTCGATCTCGTAGTGAATTGCTGTCTCGGACCAAAGGTCCAACTCCCAATGCCGATAACGCAGCGTCGGCAGCACAAATCTCTTTGCCGAACGCCGTGCAAACCATGGAGAAGAAACTTCCAGCCCTGCCCTAGGGATCGCACACGAAAGACCTGGTGCGATGGTGTTCTTGGAGTCGCGTTGTTCCTGCAGTAGCGTCTTGCCATTTATCCCAGTTATCCATACCTCTTGGGGCCCGACTGGGTCCAAGCCCCCTGGTCGCCGGAAAACCAACCAGCGAGCCGGGTTCTTTCGTGACCTCGAAGCAGGCATGTCCCTGTCCGCAAGACTACGGCTCCATGAACCTCTTGTCTGCAGTCTTGGTGACCACAAAGTCCGTAAGGCACCCGCGGGCAACGAGCTACTGCAGCAGCATCCGGGCTCATCCGATCGACGCGCCGGCTTGCTTGTGGCGATGGCTGCTCGGTATGGGCGTTGGGATTTGACTTTGACGGCTTCAACGTTGTCGTGGTCAGACTGCTAATCCCTACGTACGTAGGTCATGATGCAAAATATCGAGATAAGAGTACCACTGGAGGACCAAGTCGCCACGTTATCTGCGTATTGCTGGGCCTGTAACTAGTTGTTGGGTCTCTGTATCGCGCCCTAGCTAGACGGCTACTGCACATCATGAATGCAACGGTGATTCAACCGCTTTAGTGGTGCGAATGCTTGCAAGCGTAACGGTGGTCACATTCCAAGGCAACCGCTGCGTGCCAACTCAATTACTGAGGCTCACCACGTGCGTCAGCTGCTGCCATAGGCACGCAGCTGTACGTGCTTCTCCGACACGGCCGAATGGGTTGCAAGCTACGTCCGTAGTCGTAAGGCCGCGGCAGCGCGGCAACCAAACTGGCGGGCTTGATGGCCACATTCCAGCGTTGCGTCAACTCGTAAAGGTGCTATGGCGATGTATCCGTATGTCTCAAAGTCAGACAAATCTGATAGCTGCAACGGTCAACCACGGTAGCCCGTCGTCACACGGTCCACCGAATGGCCACATCCACAGTGGCGCTTCTTTGTTTGCAGAGACGACAGCACGTAGGTCTTTCTCGGATTGTGTCTGGCAGCCGAATCGTCACGAGCGAGAGCGATCGCCAGCGAGGCATGTGTTACGCCATTCTAGCTCCGGCATGGCGACATAGACTTTGAGGGCATCGACGCCACCACCCGCTGGCCGGTCCCTCGGGGCTGAAATTCAGAGGCCAACAACTCTACCAGGCAGGCCATGGCGGCGCCATGATCGGGAGCGGTCGCTGCGACGGTTGCCCAGCCCGGCGGCGTTGGCGGGAGATCTAGCGGCGGCATGTCCAGAATAGAAAGCTTAGGCCCCGTTGCGCATCACCTCACCCAGGCGGCGGCTTGCGCATGGTGCTCACCTGAGACCTGTGTGCTCCAGCTAGAACGGACCCCGACGAGAATAGACACCGGAAGATAAACAACGGGAGCCCGCTCGCAAGTCTCTTCGGT